ACAACAAATATAATTTTTGTTAAAATATAAATAATAATATGCTGAAATATTATATCTGATCGTTAAATAAATAATCTTTCCAAATACCATGCAGGGTAAAAACATTTTAGAGATAATTTTGTTGTTTCCTTACAAATTATGCTAATTACACTCAACAAAATCTACCCGAAATATTACTCGACCATCGTCTCATTATTTGAGGAGAATTTTATTTCATGAAATTTTGTACCATATTGAGAACTTTGATAATTAAAAAGTTCTTGTACAGAACAGTTGTTTATCTTATTGTTTGTTATATTTAAAAAAATAAACTAATGAAAAATATTATTGTATTCTAATTTTTTTGTGCTCAATATTATTTTACCTTTATCATCCTATGAAAGTGTTTGCAAAGGGAATCACAATGTTTTTAATTTCTACAAAACACCATCTGTAAAACACTTTAGAAACTATTCAATAAGGTACATAAAAACAAATCTAGAACCAACCACATTTTGATTGAACCTCCATAGCCATATTTCCTGGTTTCACTACTTTTTGAAGAAATTATTTTGTGGTCGTAGGAAAAATATTACTTGTGTAAAAGAGATTTATCACACTCGTTATATAATATGCTATTACCATATATTTTGTATAAAACATGAAAATTTAATGGAAAACAAAGGTAACTTATTTCAAGACACACAAATAGAGTTGTCTCAATTTTCAGTAATATTTTTGAACTAAAATGATGGAAAGCTGGAAAGTATATTATTTATAAGTAGATAAAAACATTTAATTATCTAGTAAAACAACAACTTTTACAAATGAGTTAATACCAAGTTCAAGGTTATTTTTAATATACATTTGAACCTCATGATACACCATAAAACTGTTCTGAACATTAAACTAATAATATTATTTGTTTTGGATATTTATAATATCTTTTGTTCTTTTTTTATTTTTTTTTACAAATTTTTATTCTTGTATTTTTTTTACCTACCTATCCAATAACAGTATAATTTTTAAATGGAGTCATAAAAAATTAAACTGAATCTGCATTCTGGTTTATTCAAACTGTTATAATGTTTAAAAATACAAGAAAAAAAGGAAAACATTACAGTAAATATACATATTATATTAATCGCAGATGAAATTAGTATTTATTTAATTTATGTGTGAATTTTTTTTACTGGATCCCTTTTGAGCTTAACTTAATTGCAGAAATATTTTTTCAAAGGTACATAAAAATTACCCCTTGAGATAATTTTTAAAAAAATTCATATATTCCTTAAATTTCCGGAAATAATTCAAGCAGTTAGGAGATTTTAAGTGATCAAAATTACTTACTTTAAAAAAATCAATCTTCCAAAAATGATAAAAATAGTTTCGCGCTTTACTTTAAGACCGATAAATCGCTACTGGGATACTAAATAGGTGTTTGTTCAAACAGTGCCACAATTTTAGATTTCCGTGAGTCTCTATGTCAGCCCCGACACCTGTTAGGCACACCTCGGCCGCCTCCCAACGTCACTTGTGCCACCGCCGTTGCTTCCTTTCAGCACGCACAGCACCGTCTCATCAGCACGACAGGCGTTAATTTTTAAGGTTCAATGCTAGTTAGCAGCTAATCTTATCAATTAAATAATAAAAAGAACAGAGACATAGTGGCTAGATGAATATTTTGGGGAGTATTTTGTAGCTCATGAAATTATAGTTTACCTAAAATTAAGGTATGTATTGTGTTTTTGATTATAGTGTAGTACCTAATTACTGAGGCCCTTCCTATAGGCCCTCAGTATTGCATTCGTGGAGTCGAAATTTTTTTTTAAATCCAAAATGCAAAAAAAATGTTTGTCTGGTCGTCTGTGCGTATGTATGCTGGTAAAATAACTCTAGAGCGAAAGTTCTGATTGACTTGCGGTCTCGATTTTCTTGAATAATTGCTTCTAACTTAATACATTATTGATTTTCAGAAGTTTCGGTTCATCCTAACTACTTTAATATCAGTGTTCTTAAAATCCGTTCATGCATTTCTTATGTGACTTATTTTACGCATACCAATCATTCCTAATGTCTAACATTTCTAATATTACAAACATTCCATTTAGGCACTCCAACGACCTGTCAAACAACAGCTAGGCATTCCAACGATCTGTTAAACTCACTGATCTGTTAAACTGCTGACAAGTGGGAACTGACATTTAGATTTGGCAACCCTGTGAGCTTGTTTTCATTGACAGGGCCAATGATACATATATAGTTATATAGATTGCTTAAAGCGGATATATTGCCTCGCAAGTGCTCATTAATCAGAATCCTATTTTGCAAAAATGTGTTTACAAACCAATATTTAGTCTTTGAAAACAGTAAAAAAAATAATTACCTACATTTTTACTTCAAGGCAAAAGCTTATGTTTATTTTGAAAAATATGGATGATCAATCAATGTAACTATCTATTTCATTGAGCTTGTCAAATCAGCAGGCCTACATGTTTGCCAAAATTTTGCCATATCATAACCTGTAAAAACCTACTGGTAGCTATTTTGTTTGGAATGCCTTGCTGTTGATTGTAAAGGTGACATTTCTAAGGAGGGTACGACCTTCATAGTTGCAACCATAGCCATTTTGAAGGCTATTTTTATTCGAAATAGTAGTCTTTTATTTATTGTATCCAATTGGTCTATGACGTCATGGCTTAGTTCCGATTTTCCCGGATATAACTGAAAATCGCAATTTATTTTTAATTTTAAAATAAAAAACCCCTTTTTTATTGAAAATTTGAATTTCTGGGTTGTTTTCCGACAAAAAGTGTGTGTTGAAATTTTTCTGTCAGCTGTCAAAATGACCGTCATATTGGTTAACCCTTTCAATTAGGCATTCCAACGACCTGTCAAACAATAGGTGCCAGTGGGAAATTCTTGTATATCTAAGGGGGTAGCGACATAGTCTTGCAACTTGGACGCTATTTTTATTCAAAGTAGTAGTCGCCAAGCCTGCCAATTTATGAAGAAATGTATAGGTGGGTTTTTTAAATATTATTTTTATTGTGTTTGACATAAAATATTTAAATTTAATCCATTATTCATGATTTTACGTAAAGTAGATAGAATACATCACATGTCGCCACCCTTAGATATACCAAACCTGCCCACTGGAAATTTATTTGTTTGGAATGCCTAATACGACTTTTGGCTATTTGTGTTTTATGTGTTTTTATGATGAAAACCAGTTACTATAGCAATAAATAGCATGCTCAATCAATTTGAAATTTTTTCTTCAAGCCGTTTTTTAGAAAAAAACTTGGGACGTATATATCCCTGCAGTATAGAAACGTGGGATATATATGTATATATCCCCGCACTGTTGACGCGGTAAAATAAAAAATAAACTTATCCAGGAAATATTTATTTCTACAAATTTATTTCATAAATCTATGTATGGTATGGAGTGAAACAATTAACACATTTCTTGCATATTATTTTGGTTCTTTTTCAATTTTTCTGGACTTACAACGAATACACCTATTTCGACCACCTTTATCAATAGGAAGATGATCACCAATGTTTTCGCAATGTTTTACCCTCTTTGATGTTCTACCCTGTCTTCTCGATCGTTTGTTATCTGTTTGAGACCTTCCTTCACTAATAAGGCCTTCAGCTACATTTACCACGAAGTCAATAAATGGAATCTTTTTTTTAGTTAGCTCTTGATAGACAATGTGAGCATTACATAGGGCAACCCATTAGCAATCGGAAAAAGACTTTCTTCCACCATTTAGTACTTCTTCGGTCTAATTCGTATAATGTAGATATCTGATCAGCGTGATCTACGCCGCCCATATGTTTATTATGAAAAATAATGGCCTCTGGGCATTCCAATTCTTTTGAAGTGCCTTCTTTCATTTTTCGTTTTGTTTTTTCGATTATAGGCATGTGACAGTTACTCATTATCAACACGTCCTTAGTATCCTTCCATTTTATTGCTAGTATGCCTTCTTTACACCCAGCCATTTCACAGGCTCCTCTCTCAACCAGTTTAGATTCTAATTTGGGAGTATTTTTTCGACTGGATATATAGGTTCCCACTGCAGAATATCCGATTGAATCTAAGAGTATTGTCGAACAGAAAAAGCGATCAAAGCATATTGCCACATTAGGATTTCTTATAGTTTCCGCCAACTTTAGCACAACTTGCTCACCTAGAGTTCCTTCAGAGACTTCATTATCTTTTCCGCAATAGATATTTGTGTCATAAACATAACCAGTTTTCGAGTCACACCTTGTCCACAATTTTATACCTCTTTTGATCGGCTTCAATGGAAGATATTGTTTTAGTGAGGACCTCCCGTTGAATTTGGTCATAGATTCATCTATTGCCTGAAATGTGGAGTCTGTTCTAGTTTTTATAATGGTGTGCTTCAAGCAGGATAGAACTTCTTCCATATAGTAAATTTTTGATGCATTTTCTGGTTTCTCCGGATAGTTTAGGTATAGTTTTGATAATAACAGCATAAATCTGTCTCTAGAAATGGCCTCTATTATGGCTGGATTTCCCAGCGACTTATTTCTAGACCAGTACATATAGCTGGTACACGATTATACGACATGATTAGTGAACACCCTAAAATTATTTTAATTTCTCCTGCTGAGGTTTTTTTTATTGGCTTTTTCTTCGTTTTTTCCAATATATCAAGACGCAAATTAGTATAATAACTAATCTGCGTGATTAGACTTTTTGGGAACAACTGGTAAAAACATTCAAGCATAGTTGACCTTCTATTTAGATTAGCAATAATCACCGGGTTTTTTTCTATCGGGTGAAAAAGTAAGAAGATTCTTGTTCCAAATATACTTGCCTGCAGATGAAGAAGGAATTTTAGTAGTATCTTCCCTCTCTTGATTATTGGTCCCTTCAGTTATTTTAGATTCCATAGTATTTTGTTCAGTTGTTTCAGATTCCATATTATTTTGTTCAGTTCTTTCAGATTCCATATTATTTTGTTCAGAATCAGTTTCACTTTCCTCAGAACCAGAATCTTCATCATGTGAATAATCTGATGAATTTTCAGAACCATCTCTATAATCCTCATCGTCACTATCATCACTGTCGTGAAAATGATCTTCTTCACTATCTGATTTATCCACAAACATCCTTTCAGCAATCCCTGATAGTTGCTTTTCAGAGAGCGGACGCCTACTACTCATTCTGAAACAAATGATACAAATCAGCACTGCGGACAATCAGCACTGCGGACAATCAGCACTGCGGGGATAAATATATCCCAACTCCCAGCACTGCAGGGATATATAAATCCCAAGCAATTTTTTTCTGCAAAAACATGCAGAAAAATAACTTATAATAATAATAATAATAATAATGTACGTACTTTAACGCACAGTAGCAGAAAAATAAGTTAATACGACACACAACAGATCAGTTGAAGCATTATTCGACATTATTTATTCCAAGCTTTCAAACAAAAAAGTTGTCATACTGATTTCTCAATTAATAAGGAATATAAGAGCAGGTGAAATTATTAAACGATTTGCAATATCAAAAATCTTAGATACGCCACTGGTACAATCTAAATGGATCTTAATAAGAATTTTGAAGTTCACAGAAATGTTATACATGCCCATATTTTTTTCCATAAACGAATTAACAGTAACATATTAAAAAATATATTATCCAATCTGACGGTCATTTTGACAGCTGACAGAAAATTTTCAACACCCGTCACAGACCAATTGAATCCAATATATGATAGTATTTGTTCCAAGCTTTTAAACAAAAAAGTTTTCGTTCCAATAGTTCAATTTACAACGAAGATAAAAGCGGATGGAATTATTAAACGGTTTGCTAATAATAAAATTACTTAGACGCCACTGGTGTACTGTAAGTGGGCCTTGATAGAAATTTTGAATTACAATGATTTTATAAAGATCATACATTCTCATATTTTTTTTCACAAACGAATTAATAGTAACATGTTTAGAACAAATATTATCCAATATGGCGGCCATTTTGAAAGCTGTCAGAAAATTTTCAATACACGATTATTATACAAAGATGTCCCAGAAATCCAAATTTACTATAAAAAATATGGGTTTCAATTTAAAAATAAAAAATAAATTACTATTTTCTGTTATTTCCGGAAAAACCGGAAGTAAGCCATGATGTTACAGAATAATTGAATCCATCGTAAGAAAGTATCTGTTCTAGTCTTTCAAACAAGAAAAAAATTATTTCGATATCTCAATGAATAACGAAGATAAGGGGTGGGGGTGGAACTTTTAAGTGGCCCACCCTGTATACTCGGTTTTATTTTGCAATACCTTTTGATGATATTTCAAAGAGGGAGAAGTCAAATCCAATGCAGAATGGTTGTAGTCGTACTCAGTTTTATATTTTTTGTTAAAGTTTTACAGTTCTTACAGTGTATTTTATTCTTCTAGACACGAGCTAGCTTCATGTTCTTCACTACATATGTGGCACACGATTGCATTCTTACAGTTTTCTTTTTTATGATAGAAATTTTGACATTTAAAACATCTGGGTATCCCCAAATCTTCATAAACCGGAAGTCAATCCCATCCTATACATACAGAGTAAATTGACTTTACGAAGTTGTATTTTAAAAATTTTCAAGGGTAATACCTTGATAATAGTCGGTTATTTTTGTTGAATCTAAATTTCGAGAATATTTTAATATCAATTTGATGAGACATAATTTTAGGCATTAATAATCTGATTAGAGTCCGAGAGCTTTAGCTTGAGGACTTTAATCAATTGATTATTAATGCCAAAATTATGTAGAATCAAATTGTAAAATGTTCGTGAAATTTAGCAACAACAAAAATAGCAGAATCATAATCAAGGAAGTGTTATATTTGAGACGACTAGACCAAATATTGACTATTTCTCTAGAGAAATAGTCGCTGTAGTCCAATCATTTAAGCTTAAATAAGGTAAGAATCTCTGAATTTGAGATACCCAGCTATAAGTCTGTAAATACTTGTATATTGACACCCTAAAAGTTGTCTCAAAACCTACATATGATAGGGTGTACGCAACTATTTAATTTCAAGGTCAAAAGTCACAAAAATCGTTTTTTTGCGCTTTTTTTGTAAATATCTCATTTCCTATGGGTTTTTTTGCTATTTATATTTATTATCAATATTGTAGAATACAAAATTCTCTACAAATTTTGTTTAAAAAAATTCAGACTACAGAGAACGTAAAAGCTATGGAGCAGCAGAGAAGAACTGCTGCACTTTTAAAAACGTATGAAGTCTGTTTCGATGAAACAATGGTTGTACCAGTTACTCATGAAAAATTCTTATCAAATCGAAATAACAAAGATATGCTCATTAATATGTTAATTGAAAAATTACAAGCTGCAAATATTACTACTAAACAAGCCAGAGATGATGCAGTTATAATAGGACAAGATATTGATTTACTTGTCATTTTAATTGGGCGTACACTGTCTTACGAACAAGAAATTTTCTTTAAAAAAGTTGGGAAAGGAAATGTAAAAACGGAGATATACTCGACTAAAAGTTTTGATAATTATCCTCATTTCAAAACACATATTTTATTTCTGCACGCATTAAATGGCTGTGATACAACTTCTGCGCTTCTTAAAAAGGGAAAAAAATCATTTTTAAAAGTTTTTGAGAAACTGACAAATTTAGATGAACTAGCTGCAGCATTTGAGGAAGAAGAGATCGGCCCAGAGATTATTAGAGAGTGGAACTCAAACCTTATTGGCAGTCTCTAATGCTCCGAAATCTGTGAAAAGTCTCGATCATCTTCGTTATATGCATTACGTCAAGTCTACAAAACTCAATAAACCTGTGCAGCTTTCAAATATTCCACCAACAAGTGCAGCTGCTCATCAACATTTCAAACGTGTATATTCAATACAAGTTCAAACTTGGTTAGGGCATGATTTGAAACCCCAGGTATGGGGTTGGGCAATGCGAAACGATTTTCTGGAGCCTATCATGACAACACCTGCTCCAGAAGATTTGCTAAATACAATTTTCTGCAACTGCAAGAGTGGTTGTGGTTCGCGATGCGGATGCAGAAAAGCGGGCTTACAATGCTCTTTAGCTTGTGGCCAATGTAATGAACAAGCTTGTCTCAATGCTCTACCTTATCAGAGCGACATTAACGAAGATGGAACCTTTGACCCTGAAATCATGGAAGAATTTAAGACAAATGTCGTTGAAGACGATAAGGAAGACCAGTTTGAAATTTACCAGCAGCCGGAAGACGACGATGAAGAGGAAGAAGATGATTAAAATTATAAATTGTAGTTTTTGTACCCTTTATTCCATTTTTTACTTTTAATAAAAATAAATGTATTGAATGATATTTTTTAATAAAAAGATTAATTCATAATTTATTTGTTTTTTTTTTTTATCATGTAAGAAGTTATTAATATTAATTAGGTTAAAATTCAAATATAATTCTTATATTTTCATTAACAATTCTGCAATTACAAGAGCAGGTAAGTGTTGTTAAATAAATTAATACTGAATAAAAAGTGGATAGGTTAGGAAAAAAATGATAAAATATAATATAATAGTTAATAAAAATTGACAAATATTTATAATCATTGATTTATCGATAGTTCATCAACTATATAGGGCGCGTTTTCGACCGGAGGCACCAGTTGACCTGAAATGATGCTGTGACTGCGCGCTCTCCGCCCTCTATCTCGAAAACGGTTCACCGTATGAAACATTTTTTTAAACAAAATTTGTAGAGAATTTTGTATTCTACAATATTGATAATAAATACAAATAGCAGAAAACTCATAGGAAATGAGATATTTACAAAAAAAAAACGCAAAAAACCGATTTTTGTGACCTTTGACCTTAAAATTTAATAGTTGCGTACACCCTACCATATGTAGGTTTTGAGACAACTTTTAGGGTGTCAATATACAAGTATTTACAGACTTACAGCTGGGTATCTCGAATTCCGAGGTGAACTTACTATAATGACTGGACTACTGATATTTGGTCTAGGGAGATAGTCACTGTTACCTAATTAATCTTCCGATTTAAAGTTCCCTCTGGAAAACATCATTCAAATGGATTATATATTTTTAGACTCTCATATCACGAGATTCCAAAAAGTCAACGGTCGGTTCTGTAAGTTTTTAGAATAGGCGTTTTGAAATTTGATAGCTACATTTTATCAAATATCACTAAATTCTGAATTTTTGCGATATACACATTCAGTTACATAGGTAGGAATTGTATAAAATAACTGCAAAATAATTAGTAGTAGTTTTAATTATTCTTCCAATAAAATATTATGATGGTTCACTTTTGTAAATATGGAATTCTATCGATCGTTATTATCATACATTTTATAGATGTTTCCGCAGGTAAGTCATAATTATAGTAATGGCATTTTTTGTAATCATAACAAGTTCCAAAATTATCTACTCAAAGTAATTTCTTAGGTTCTTACATTATGTAATTGGTTACGAATAGTTCAATGTCACCAGTTGTGAAAAGAAAAGAAATAATCTATGTATTGATATGGAAATTTCTAGAGGGCAAAAAATATTTCTATTGTCAAAATTTATCATTACCCAGCTAGCACAAAAACGTAAATAATTTATTAGAAGAGGATAATAATTTAAAATCTTTTATATAAAAATATAATTATTTTTATATAAAAAGATTTTACTTTTTTACAACATATTGAATAAAAAAGATTGAGGAAATGATATAGAAATTAAAAAATATGCTTAAGTTTACATTGCACTTATTTTTAGATAAGTCTTACTTTGTTGTTTTAAGTAAAACAACCAATGTTTGTATTAAATTTTTTTTCAATTTTACAAATTTTATGCTTGATTATGGATTTCCAAGTTAGGTATGCAGATTTTATAAAAAACAATTCATGTTTTTTAGCAAGATACTCGCTGCTATATACTCGAGAGCATCATCTGTGATTTATCTTAACTTTTCTTCTGGGTTTGTACTTGAACTGATGGTTAGATTTCCAGATAAATTCAAGTCTGTTGAAAAGAATGAACTGCTTGAATTTGATGTTTTTTTCATATAGACATAGATTCATTTTTTTATAAAATTTTAGGTGTTATACCGGGTGTCCGCGCGAAAACTTTAAATGGAATTATTTCTGGTGTTTTAAAATATATCGACTTGAAATTTTG